TTGTCGTAAAAATACTCAGCGATACTACACAACAAAACGTCTAATAAAATATATTTAGCACAAAATAAAGGGCCAATCAGATTTCTCGAATCACGAAAACCGCTGAGAGTTCTTGTACTACATGTCATAGGGTTTAACCATGCCTAACTTCCGCCAGTTTCCCAAAACAAACAATAAATCCACTGTTGTCCACCGTTTGTGCAAGCGACAATCTGTCATTTATGTGGACGCTAGAGAGTTTAGTAGCAGTTGTGGCATTGTTTTTACATACTTTGTCTGCCTGTCCATGGCCGCAACTCTGAGTGCTTCCCATCGATCATTGAGTGACATCATTTGCTCTCGAATCTCAGTTTCTTCCTTCTCGTTCACAAGCCCCTCACTTATCATCTGGTTACCAAACTCTAAAACTGCTCCCACCTCCGACTGATGTGACGTGAGTTCCATCATAAAGTCCTGGAATTAGGAAAAAAAAAACTATTCTTACAAAGATTTTTCATTCAAATAAATATAGTTTTTAACTTAATCGCATTTACGCTCTCAATCATCGAAAAACAGAAATCAGATATTGTCGGAAGTCACGTTCTCTTAAAGCCTCTGGCAATTTTTTTAGGCCTCTCTTCTGAAATTGCTAAGATTGCATCTTCTGCAAGGATCAAAGCTTTATTTGGTTTTAACTCCGCAAATCAAATGAAATTGATTTCACTGCAAATTTTATCAGATTCCTTCACGGGAGAGAAGAACTCTCTAAAAATTTGCCCCACTCCCAAAGTGTGGCGCAACAACGTAGCTCAGTTGGTTGTAACGCCTAACTAGTTTGGGAGGCAGGTTTCGAATCCCATTGAAGCTTTTATTTTTCGGGCTTTTTTTCCTACAGTTGCTTAAATTGCAGCTCACTTACGAAGATCGTTGCTTTTCTTGGTTTTCAATCCTCAGATCAAATAAAGTTTATTTAATTACAATTTGAATCTTCAGACACTTCGCAATTATGTCGAAATGCTCGAAGTGACCTTAAAGGACAGCGTAGTCAAAAGTTATCGAAAGATTTGAGAAATTCGGAACCTCTCAATGTATCGTCGAAGATCCTCTCAGTCACCAATATCACCCGCTATCTTAATAGCATGGCTGGTAAATGTAAGTATCTTGAATGTGTATGAGCTCGCACTGAAGAATAGTGTTCCTGTTCGAACTTACAGTGTCGAGTCAATATCTCAGTGTAAAGATAACAGACCTCGGGGTCGGTTAATAAGAAGTGGTATTCACCTCATGTCCGTGAAACTGTTTCTTAACGGCGTCTACTTCACCAGAGATGTTCTCTTGTGACTCCAAAGTTCTTTCTGCCTGTGACAGCCAGTTCAAGACATCTTGCAGCGCAGTGTTATAGTCTTCCCATTCTTTAAACGAACCGACGGAATCACGGATACTGCTGGTTTCACTAACCATGGAGTCGGGTCTCTCTGATTCCTGACTGCGCTCAACCTGGGGATGGAAAAAAAATCGGGTCATCAACAACAGCCCTTGTCCATTCTTTAAAGCAAGTCCGACCTGGACATATAGGTGGTTTGCAACCAATCTCTAGAAACACAGGTAAGAATGGTGAAAGGAACAAATGCTGGTGGACGAACAAAAGGAGTAAATAAGATATCTATTGTTTACGTCCACCAACATGGCGGCAATGACGTAACGTGTAAACCACCAATATAGGGAATTTTTCGGGCGATTTTTCTAAGTTTCCTGGTTAACATGAAGGAATTGAAAATTACCGCCACGACGAATCTAAAAGCTTCCGTCATAATTCTTCTAGTTTCCACGACGACCTAAGATCATTACAAACATATCTCTAATCTAGCTTCTTGAAGGAATTTTAAATATCCAGTGCTGCAGCCTCGTGCGCTTGGCATCTTTACACTAACACTGTTTTGATTCTTTAAAAACTTTAAGTTTTGATTACGAAACGCATGAATATCACGAGATGGAGCGATTAAAACAAGTGCGTCGAAAAGGCCCTACAGACAGGAAGCGAAAAAAAAACCAAGCATCCTGTTTGAAATCAGAGAGAATTGTAACTAATTAAAAAAAAAAACATTTCTGATTAAATTTGATCAACGGCTTGTTTATTTCTAACTTATTACCATTACAAACAAAGTTCATGTCTCGCTGCCACCATGTGGCTTCGTTGCTCAGTTAGTAATAGCAGCCAGTTGTATCTGGAAATCACTGGTCGAACATCGTCGGAGCACAACTCTTTTTTTTTCTTTTTCAAGCTACATTTCTACGATGTCTTAAATTGTGATGTACCTTTCAAGTTCAATTCGTTCTTTTTGTGACTTGCATGTCCGATAAGATTGTAGACTTACCACAGTAGTAATAGCTGAGTGTTGTATAGGTGGTTCCTTGACTGTGGTACTCGTGGTGGTCACATATCTCACGGGTTCTCTCTCATCATAACCTTTCTTCACGTGTTTCACTGTGTGTTCAGTGTGATACGTGCTGCTAATCGTGCGTTTCGACACGGTATGGGTGTGTTCCGACTTCTCTATCTTGCGTGACGTACTTGAAGGGTTCCTTTGTACGGTCATGTGAGTAACGCCAGGCGCTAGCTTGTTGTACAAGTTGGAAACGTACATCAGGATGGACTTCTTATCTGGGCGATCACGAACAACATCTGGGAAAAACAGAGATCGCTAAGATTCAATTTTGAGTCTTAGGACTTCGCTTGTATTATTGAGGCTCGAATCACACATACGCACTTCACAATTAAACACTTCACTCATTTCAGAACAACAGTTAAGAATAAATTGATCCGCTGGTAACAGATTTGCTAGTCGAGGTGGGTGAATCAAATGCCTAAATCTACTTAATTATTACATGGATGAAATAGATTGAGAAACTAAATACTAGAAATTCAGGAAATTAGAGAACTCACTGAACTCAACTAAAAAAAAATTATTATTTTATTTTGTGAGGTTTAAAGTTGACCTATCCTATAAATAAATAAATAAATAAATAAATAAATAAATAAACCTTTATTTAAGAGGGTGACACCAATTATCAGGCGTGTGGCGTGGTCATTTTTTCAAGTACACACAAGTACATATGATCTAGAAACCCAAGTAAACTGAGCGAAAAATACTGCGTTCTTTATTTCTTGTTTGAAATAGTTGTGTGAATACAAGCAAAGAACAAAGCGTCTTGCCCTTATTTTGAGCAAACTTGGCGCAAACACAACATTGTTTTCAAATTTTTCTGGTCACTTCAAGTACGCACGTGCGTATATGCGTAGCGGACGCTACGCGCCTGTTTATTATAAAAAGTATTCTCCCTAGTGACCCTCTAAAAACAAAATTGATTATGATAAAAGATATCAAAATTTCTAAACAAGTAGTCTCCCACCCTAGCGCACTCATTAAGAAAAAAAAAAAAAAGGCTTAACCCGTACCTGTAGGATCCAAAAGCCTGTCCACATCAAGAAACTGCTCTGCAACTGAAAAAGCGTGTTCACAACAATCGGAAGGAGTCTTGTCCAACTGGTCACTGTAGTCAAACAGATGGGGTCTGAGGAGAACAAACCAATTGCATGATGTTAAACTATAGCAACTACATTAATCTTGCTATTGTCTTTTACAACTTGAAAGGTAATGGTTTTTATTCATTTTAACTGTTGCTCCTTTTTATCCATTTTGCACTTATCCAGTGGGTGGTGGTATTAGCTGACAGGTGTGGGTGTTAAACTAACAGTGACATCATGGGTGATGATTTAAAAAACGGTGGATGGTACACCTTAAGTGGTGATATGTGGGTTGAGAATTATAGGAAGTATTTATAAATTCATGGATGTGGGTGGTAGACTGCTCCTAGAGGAAGATGGCTAGTGTATGTCATGTCATGGTTGAAGGCAATAGACTACTTCTGATGGGTGGCAGGATCTGCCAGGAGGAGCTGGGTGGTATCAGGTCATGGATGTGGGTGGTACATTAATTATCGATGAGTGGCAACTAAAGTATGACTTAAAGTGACGAGTTGCGGTACAGGATGATGAGAAGAAATTATCAGATCATGGATGTAGGAGGTCACCTGCTCCTGATGGGTGGCAGGAAGAAAGTGGTAGATAGCAGAAATCTGGTTATAGATTGTGGGCAGCAGACAGGTCAGAGAGTGAAAGTAGCACAGAGCAGAGGATATAATGAGGTATATGACATGTTTTGGAGATTAAGAAGCATCATACCTGTATCTATGGATTAATGCATTGAATGCCAGTCCATCACGCCAGCAGGTGGTAAAGTTCTTGACATCCACACCATCATATCTTATATGAAAAAACATTGATGGATATTACTACATCATGCATCTTTGATCCTATTTATAAATCAGTTAAGCCACCATACATGACTGTAACTTGCCATCAAAATGCACCAGATCCTTAATTACAGAGCACACACATTGAACATCTACATGGACCACTCTCACCCTACATGTAATTCTAAGCTGAAAAACAAGGAAGAATTCTTGAAAAAGCTCTCCAGACCTTAGCTCAGAGCATATTCCATTAAATGGAAACTTCCCTATGTACAAAACTCCAGCTATATCCCAGTGTTATTTCCCGTACTATCCTATGTGTTTCAGAATGCATCCATCTTTAATTTTTCTGAAGTCCTTGCATCACTCACCCTCTCACTGACTGCCGACACCAGGCTAGCAGTTTCTCCTCTGGTGTTTCAGAATCAGAATCCAACATCAAATTCTTGAGCAGCAATTGCAACTACAATGCAAAACACTGAGTTATTAATCACTTGTTGCAAACATTGTAGATATGATCTTCTACACAAAGTAAATAAGTCTTGCAAAGCTGTGCATTTCTATCAGCCTTTCCATCTCAAAGCATCTCTCTTACAATACCATTTTGCAAATAGTAAGGTCTCTGTGGAAAAGTCACTTGGTTAAATTTGAACACTGGAGGTCTAATTTTCAGCATCAGTGTACCGTTAATAAGTCAGCAGATTTTTGTTGATTTTAATCTGTCTACTCCCAAAGTTTCTGAGAGCACAAACCAGCCCACTGTTATTTTTATCCTTCATTTTGGGCATACGCCTCATCACAAAGAGATGAAGACCGAGTACATGTATCTCTACAATCCCGAGTTGAATAAACAATAAGGAGTTGAACCCTTTGTTGGAGAAATAATAATCATGTAATGTGATTCGTTGGATAAGATCATGTGACACACTCTAGGGAATTACACTTGCTCTCCTATTGCATCATCTAACTATTAACCTCGCAGTTTCATTGTTCTTTCTTTAGTGGCTGTTGCAACCTTCTTTTGGATCGGAATAAAGATGAATTTCTTAATACCCCTTCAAGGGAATTTCAGCCTGCAGTTCTTGAAGGTACAAGATTCTTTAGCCCCTATGATGATACAAGTCCTGCATGAGGTTTACCCATGCAATGTCATAAAGCAAACCACGTATTGAAACATTTATAGCAAAAGCAACCTTACTGTGTGGATACATGATATGAAAAGGTGACCAGAGTCTGTCACATTTATAGGAAATTATCTTCCTGCTCATTTAACTGCTCCTCTCACAGAGTTTAATTGTCACATGTCAACAATACATCATGCTGGCAAAGACAAAAATTCCTATTTTCATACCTGAAAGTGTGAAATGATATACCACATCAGCCCCAAGGTTAGTTTGGGGTTTCCATCAACAATGTCATCATTACTGATATTAACAGGTCGTACCTGACCAACAGAAAAAACATACAATTATTTAAGGTTGGTAAAAACCTCAAAAAGTATGCATACACTTTTTAATAACACAAAAAAAGTTGGTAAAAACCACTTACATTGTTTTCCTCTAGAATCCTGAGGGCATTGTCTACATTGGTCATAAAGTGAACTCTGGTGCGACCTTTTTCACTTTTCTATCAGACAAAATCAAACAAATGGAGGTAAAAAAATAGAGAACTTAGCCTTAATTGTGTCTTGTTAAATAATGTGCCCCGAAAGTTTGCGTTATTTCTTAGGAAATCTGAATCTAAACCATTTAACTCACACGACCTGATTCTTAATTAAAGAATTTGGAGTTAGATCAAGATAACAATGTTTACCTTATAAGTTTGAGTATTTATGTTACCTGTTTACAAGATGATGTATGGATATTGTAGGGAGAAGTTATATCTTAATCAGTTGTGGGAGTTAACCCTTTACCCCCTAACATCAGCATGTATATTCTCTATACTGTTCTCTATACATTTCCTTGGGAGTGGACAAGGAGAATTTGTTGAACAGTCAAGAGCTTGTTTAGTTGTTGACCATTTCCTTTATTCTCATGACATAACTGTGTGATTCAGGGGTGATATTGTAAAGAGAAATTAAATGTTAGTCATTCTTAGTGGTCACAGAGTTAAAGGGTTAGGCTGCAGAGTTGTCTGAGGTTATTATGAACAATCCATGTAACTGCATTTCAAAGTAAAGTCCCAAACACTGCTTCTTTTAATTACAAAACATTACCACGACACAGAAATTGAAAGAAAAAAAATTCAGCAGACTTACAATTCGTTTTCCACATAAAATTTCTAGTAGCAGAAGTAGTTTGGTTCCATCTTTTAGGTCTTCAAACAAATCCTTAACTTGTTGGCCACTGCCAGCCTACCAACATAGAATATGAATAATTTTGAAAAATTCAAATTACACTGCCAAAAAGGGTGTATCCATGAATTCTACAGTCTGACCACAAATGGTGAAAGAAACTAACTCTTGACTTCTGTGCAAAGAGACCACAATGACCATCTCAAACTTACAGGGGTTAAACATCTACATTACCCTGGCTACACTAACCAAACCTCTCTCCTCTCTCCTCTCCCTTCCCTTTTTCCTCCCTTTCCAAGTTCACCCCCAAAGCTAAATTATGACCCACAAATCAGCCAAAACTGTTGGCTGGTCTGTCACCTTTAACGTGCTAATTACCACTCATTTTACAACAACTGCTATCAGAAATAACTCCACTACAAAAATTTGAACAACTGCCTTTTCCCAGTTTTAAAAGAAATTAAATGCATAAAGTTACAACTAACAAGTTTGGATGTGTGAATGGATGCTATGTCCAGAGCTTGCTGGAAGATTCATGCAAATAATTCCCAGTCTTGCATGCAATCTGACAAAACAACATGCAATTCAAATAACCTTGCTGCCTAATATTTCTTCTTTGCTCTCACTTTAAACCTTGTTGAGAGCCCTGACCACACATGAACATTTTTTTTTCTCAGCTAACTATCAAAGTTGAAAAGGAACTATCACAGGTATATATTATGCCACTACATCTACTATTTGACATCCAAGGATACTGCCTCTGGAGACAAAAAAAACAGGGATGACAAAATAAAATAGCATCACAAAGCTGGGGTGAAATGATAAAACATATATTGCACCTTGGCTAGTTGGGCATTTATCCACTTTGTGAATGTTTTCTTCTGTGTTCCTTCATGTTCATCTAAAAATAGAGCAGAGAAGGGAATCTATCAGAGAACATACCCACAAACATTAAAAGAATTTGAACTTTCTTTTCACCCGTGACAGATCTAAATTTATAACAGCAATGATGATAGGTGAAAGGTGCACTACATACAAGAGTAAAGAATATCAGATACATGTCCAATATTTCAGTATGACAGAGAGAAAATTAAGTACTCCTTTGAAGAAACATAGAGGAACATCAACAAAAATTGAGAGAGAACAAAGACCAATCATCTTATGAATTATACATTTTACATTGAGTCCACAATAACTCCAATTTAATAATAAATTTTTCATCCTAGGGATGATTGACTAACAGAAATCACAGATGCTTCTTCTGCCAGAAGAGCAAAGAAAAATTGAAGAATTAAGGCAAAGAAATGGATAAAAACAAAAAACTACAGGGATAAGGGAAAAATGGCAAGAACATCTAGGAGAGAGAAAGATTCTCTATGAGGTCTAGATACAAAAAAGATAGAATATTCAGAATGGTACATTTCTCAATCACTGCAAGGGTTTCTTATCAAAAGGCTACAGGAAAACATGTTGGTGGCACTCAAGTACACTTTCACACAAGGTGTTCAGAGAGTCAGAGAAAGACATTACATACACTGTATTCCATCAAGCATGATAAATTACTTTTCCTTTAATTGCACAAAGTTTAGCTACTGGGTGGTAGTAGTAGAGTTGCACAAAAATTACAAATGATTGTGGTACTCTAAGGGGAATCAAAACTGGATCAAATTACATTTGCTCTTTTAAAATCCACAGTTCTGATAGATCAATTAATTTGAACCCCAAATTTGACTTTACCAAATTACATTGCCACTGCTTTTAAGAAATAATGAGCTAATATAATGAGTGTCTTCCATGCACAATGAACATTATTTTTTTAACAAACGAAGGGCTGAAATTTCGATTTTACTTGATGAGTTGATTGATATTTTAACCTTGCTGATAACGGAGAAGTTAATGTGTGTTTAATCTCAGCCCTCTAATTGAATTGGTGTGTTAATAATTCTAAATGTAAAATGTATTGTGGGTTTCCCCCTCGAAAATATCTTGACATTGTAAACATTTTACGTCTGGGTCAAAATCACTTAAATTACTCAGCTGATATGATAGTCTCCTCGTTATATAAGCTCGTTTGCTTCTACGGGTTGCGTGAAATTCGCGTGTTCCATTTCTCGTAGAATTCACAACGATGTAGGTTTCAACGGAGTCATTGAACGGGCAAGAGTGAAAAGACAGTAAGCTCCTAATAAGCCGCAGGCATTTCTCAAATGCGAGGTATTCGACTCATAACAAGATAAACCTCGCGTGGTAAAAATTCAGAGGAAACTTTGCATTTCACCCTTTTTCCGATCTCGTTTGTGAAAACATTGGTGTTCTAATTTCCTGGAGTATGGTCTTGAGTAAGAAAGTACGTCAGCTTTTCAAGGTTAATTATGGAAATTATGTACTTTATCTATTGTCATAACGGCTAGCGGCGTGTACCGTTTCCATAAAGTGAAGGAATGAGAACATTGCGCGCTATAAAACCTTCAAAACAATTTTCAAATGCCACAACGTCTACAATTTCCAAATTAAAACGACTCGGTATTCAAAGTTTCTATTCAAAGACCTTTAAAGTAAACAAAGTAGCACTTCTCATTCATTTAGGTGTCAGAGTGAAGAACCCGAACAAGACGATACGTAAAGAGTGTAAAAATACATCAAGTAAGCCGTGAACGACTAGCAAAACAACATGGCGAAAGCGACGTGAGAAGCTCAACAGGCACGAGTTGCTTCGCTTAAACGCTGAAACTGTTTACCACAAAAGCGAAGATAGAACCCACGGGAAAAAATTAAGTTCATTGTTTTGGTGTAAGAAATTTCTATCCCGATGACAATTGCGGGATCAATTTATTGTCCGCAAGAAAACCACCCTTCCGTTCTACAACGCGGACTTACAAACATCCTTGAAACCTTCAGAAGACGACATAAAGGAAAATTCTCGTATAAATAAAAAGCTTTCGTTTAATATATTGCTTATAAACAAAAGATTTCTCTGACGATTGGAGAGGACTTCAATACAGCCAAAATAGTGTTACCGAAATAAAAAGACGCTTTAGAACTCAGTCATGCGATAACTGAAATCACGATCCAACAGCTGAATTCACACTCAGATGTTTATAACATGTCTAATTTCGCCCAGGGAAGTATTCCATAATCAACCACAAATCTTACCTGAACGTGACTTTATTCTAAGTGTAAATGTTCCACTATCGTCTTCTTCAAAACTCATAATTCAATACCTCCCAGCTGAAGATTCAGTTGAAATTCTGTCAATGACTGCTTGCAGAAAGATTATATTCAATTCGACCACTGCAGATCAATTGCTCATCAACATTTGGGACAAAGCATTCCAAAACTGTACAAGGATACAAAAGACACGGGTATTAGTTAAGTCTTCGATCTGTTGCTCACTCAACATTGAATGCATCGACCCAATAAAAACCAGATGATTTTGTGTAGCACGCTCGCAGAGCGAAAAGAGCAGTCGATGCCTGTGAATTACAGAGGGCCCGTAACTAACGTGTGCTGCACAACCAGCGAATAAGCCTTCGACTCACGACCCACGAACCTCCTTTGAAGTACCAAACGAAGGAATAATTGAACCACGACTGCCACAGCCTACTACGATATTCCAAGGACTAGGTGGAGTGCCCCAGAGACACAACACATCAGCGATGAAGTATTTCCGAAATATTCGCTCATGCGGAGCATGGACTCAATGATCTCGGACGCGGCAAAAAGCAGGACAATGGGCAATTGTTATTGGCCAATGAAATCGTTAGGTTCGATATGTGAACTATGTTGCGAATTTGAAGTCACTTATGTATCTTGGACATCTTCAAGAGACCAGAAACTAAACTCTTTGAAAAACATACTTGAGGGAGAAGATAAAACAACCGATAAGATATTCTGATTTGATATCTTTCAGCGTATAACATAACAGGGAAAGGCTAAAATTAAATTTATCGAATTTAATTGAAAAAATCATCTCCCTCGTTAAGTGTAAAATCATCTGTACACATAAAGAAATATCGATTGCAAAGTAATTTCTATTAAAACAAGACAGGATATTACTTCAAAACCTTTGTTTAAAGATAATATTGTACCCCCAAGGTTCTTAATCTTGTAAAAGCGTTGACGAGGGAAGGAAGCTAAGAATGCGTTTTTTCTTTGCTTTGCGAAACAGACACAGTTAAGCGTGCGTTTTAACAAAGGAGAATAAATCCTCCCGATTTTTACGTGGGGGTTGTTTTTGTCGCTCAGTTTTCGCTCAACTGTATCCCCCTTGAGAGATAATTTGACTTAAAGGGGATCACGAAAAACAATGCAGTTCGATTAATTATATCCGCTCAGAAATCAAGAAAACTGGTCGTTAACACATTGGATAGATATCGAAACGTTTCAATACCTCACGAATAAGTTCAGTTCAGCACAGAAACAGGAATTTCTCTCCAAATCAAACAATTTCCTCGTGTTTTATCTGTTTCGAGCAATCTGCCTGACAGTTTTCAATTTATTTAGCAGACCCTTACACATCAGAACTCCCAGCATTCGCTGTCATGACACTCATATCATTCTCGTAATTGGAAAAACAACTGAAAACCAACTTCCTATTTTCGCGTCCAAATGCCCATGAAGAGCTGAGAAATATTGCTTTTTCGCTATTTATATCTGTTCGATTTTTAGTAACGAATCTTAAATCCTGTTGTGACTTATCAAGATTAAAAAAGTTGCGTGATCGTGAATCATTTAATTACTCTAATCCCATGGTGTGTTGTATGTGACACAAAGATACAGGAAAAGGAAACACGAACAACTTCCTGCGTACAAGTGCGATACTAAAAAACGTCGTCGGGGTACAAGCCCCTGAAAGCTGATTTTATTTTTAACTCATAGTACGTACATTTTTTAGTTGTACCAAAGTAGTTTGTTAAGATAGTTTGCGGCGAAATCAGCGAGAGTCTATCAGTGAAAAGCTGGGATTAAAATTTGATGATCATACTATGCAACGGCTAGATCACAAGCCCGACGGTCCATCAGTGCATGAGTCACTCAGCTGGTATTTAAGTCCGATCACTACTCAGAGGCTTACCAATTTAACGCTGACTGAATGACTGACTGACTGATTGATTGATTCAGTATTGACTGACTGACTGACTGACTGACCGATCGGCTGTCTGACAGAATGACAGACTGACAAACTAACTAACTGATTGACTGACTAGCTGACTGATCGATTGACTAACAGAATGACTGACTGACTGACTTACTGACTCACTGACTGGCTGACTCAGTGATTGGCTGACTCAGTGATTGGCTGACTCAGTGATTGGCTGACTCAGTGATTGGCTGACTCATTGACTGACTGGCTGACTCATTGACTGACTAAATAATTTCAATATATCATCAAAGTTGAAATGATAAATTGGCCACCGTTACGATTATAAAAGCTGACGTTTCGAGCGTTAGCCCTTCGTCGGAGCGAATAGAGGAATTGTGGGTTGTCGGTACTTTTAAAGGCAGAGAATGGAGCTACGTGATTGGTGGGAACAAGGCCACGAGAAAACACAAATAACTTAGTGGAATGAAAAGCGGTTGATACCTGTGGGATTTAGATTGCCGGTTTGAAAGATGAGCTCAGTTTGTTCAAGAGTTTTACGGCTTTTTGTGCTACCTAAGTGTAAGGAAAGACCGCAGATTGCCATATGTTGCTTAGAATGATTAGGTAAATTAAAATGTCCAGCGACTGGTTTGGGTGTGTCCTTGTCATTCCTCTCCACGTCGCGAAGGTGTTCTCGGAATCGGTCACCAAGCCATCTTCCCGTTTCACCAATGTATATTTCTTGGCAGTTAGAGCAAGTTATGCAATAGATGACATTGGCGGAGGTGCACGTGACATTTGGTCTGTCTGACTGGCCGACTGACCGAGTGACCAACTAATTAACTGACTGACTGACTAATTGACTGACCGTCATGCAGTATAATTGAATGAATGAGTGATTGAATGACCCGACAAACCAACAACAGGTTAGCATGAACTTCAAGATGAAAGGTTCCTCGAAATGGCCAGCTATTTTCGAGTCAAGTAAACCCTCGAAGATTTCAGTTCATCATGCATAGATTGGAGATTTTTAAGCATTAATTAGAAGTCCTCAATGACTGTTCCTGAACAAAACGACGAGGAGGTTTTATAAAGGCAAACTAGTTACTCTAAGCAATAAACACGCAACTCATGATAAGAAAGAAGAAAGTGTGTGTACTTGATGAAAATCCGTTTCATTACATTTCCTAAGTCGTTACTTAAAATTCTAAGTTCCTCTCCCCTTAGAGAACAAGATTTTCTGTTATTTTACGATTAATTGTTTATCTAAGAGTTAATATTGGCCTGCGGTACCCCACTAACGAGCTTAACTTTCCTATAAATGATATGCGTATGTGCGAAGTAAATATTTTACTTAACTTTTCAATAAAAATTGTCTCTGTTTAAGTAAAATGATTCTAAAAACCGAGTGAACCGATTTCTAAGGGGAATTCGGGAGTTACAGACCATTTTTTGAATAGACTTTGGTCTAAAGACTGCTGTAAAGCGCCATCTGACAAATCAATGAATAATACATGACGTGATTTCTTTTGTTTCAATCAGCTGCTGAGCAGCACTTTCCTCATAAACGGAAGTTTTTGGCGTGTTTGGGAGCTCGGGAGGTGGATGGCGATGAGCCAGAGAATGTCATTACTTCTAGTGTGCTTTGGCTTCAAACAAACTGTTTGGGTTGTACTTATTGTAACTTTTTACCATAATTAAAGGCGACCAAAGATTTTACAATTTATCATGAATGTTCAGTAACGTGCAACATGGAGGACAAATTGTACAAAAGAAGTAACTTGCGGAAAACTGACAAGAAGGATCCAGTTGTATTCAACAGTCCGAGGAACTGAAACTCAGGATAATATGCAAACTTGAATTTGAACCTAACCGATTCCAAGTATTACTTGTAACGCGTGATTACAATCAGTATAGTAGCTCAGTTTAGATTTCCAAAATGGTGCACTTCGTGTAGTGATCGTCCGATAATTTTAAATCCACATAGTGGTTGTGAACATTAAACCAAAAGAAAAGTAGGCAGAGAGCTGAAAAAAAAAAGCGTTATTTCTTAGATAGTGTGATAGAGCTAGGAAACTTACTTTCGAGTAAATAGAAACCACATGTCAAAACTTCAAATTTAATGGCTAGTTTCGAACTTGTGCGTTTTACGCAAATGATTCAAGTCTTAATTGATTAAACGCGCCCTATATTGGTTCACGTCGTCCTGATTCCCAGGGCTTTTCCCTTGATAACAAGGAAGGACGCCCTTTTAATAATCATGGCAAAAATCCAAATAAATCAAAGTCGTATGTACGAAATAGGATATTTCTCTAGAACTGCTGAGGTTTTTTTATCCAGATTTGATGGTGTTAACCGTTCTTTAGTCGTGATCAACTGCCACCCAAAATGTTAATTTCTGTTTGAAAGTCTGTTTTGTAATTGTTGAAAACGATTTGACATATTTCCATTGAAGAGTTTGAGTAAGGAAATAATCCCAAGATAGCGATCCTTGTCCACTCTCTCCAAGTCAAATCAAAATTCAAAGTGTCGCTTTCGAAAGTTTGAGAAGCGCGTACTTCCTCAATAAGCACAGATTGTGATAAACTGAGACATTGTATTTCCTAAACAGTTTATCATGCAAGACTGATCATGTCAGAACTCCTTTCCGTACCAGTAGAGCTGCTATGCAGCGGCTTTATGTTGTTCACAGAACACATCATTAATGTGAAATTCGGCCTCGAACTTTCCGAAAACAAGGATCCATCCACCAGAGAATTGCCTATTGATTATCCACACTTTGACGCAGAAGATGCCTCGAGTGAAGAGTTTTAAAAACCCCGAAACTTCAGAGATAAAGCTGTTTGGAGAGAAAAAAAGACTACCTATAAAAGTCTCCTTAAAGAAGAGTGCCTGGTTCGCATTTCTGGTAACAGTACTGGCTGGTGGATTAATAGAGGTTGGATGCCTCTTGTTTATATACTATCTGATGAAGACAATTTTCATCTATGATTGGAAGAAGCTCCATGATCCGTTCCTTCTCTCCAGAAAAAAAACGACTTCGTATAATTGGAGAATCGTACCTGGCTTCACCTCTCTATCTCTGGCAGCCACTGATGTTGCTTTTTGTGTTCAGATGGCCTCTTATCAAAGAAGTTAACTTAGTAACGTTTACTCTGGTTGGAGTTTTCTTTGATCTCGCCTACAGATTTTTCAGTGGTTGCTGTTTACGGACTGTACTACCCTCCGTGGGTTCCATATCCACTGATCATCCTTTATTTATTTCTGATTCTTGTCCAAAGTTTTTCTATTGGGAGAATTTTCAGAAAAATATTTTTAGCGCGAGTTTATTCGGTTTTTAAGCTCTGCGGGCAGTTCATCCTTGGGTCCCCAGTTTTTTATTTGTTCGCGTATGTGTTGTGTCCACAGTTTGCGCACCTCGGTCTTTTCAAAGTCGCCATGATTGCTCTTTCATATTCAATTGCCATAATACCTAAGATAGTTTCAAAGCGATGTGTCAGGATTGAAAATTATAAATCCAGGCTCTACGAACGTTTTAGTGTCTTCTGCATCTAGTGCGGTTTGCATAGCACTGAGATTTATGCTGGCCGAATTTAAAACCCTTTGGGCGTTTATTGCGTAAGTATTGGCGATCGAACGATTCACCTAATGTACGAATTGATCGTCAAAGCTAAAAAATCTCATGAGGATAAATTGCAATATGAGAAAATTTTGCTATTGGGTTTGGAAGCAGATCCCACAGGGCCATTAACTGCCGCCAAAATGACAAAACGTCGATCTCAGAGGCTAGCCGCTGACCCACCAATACACGAAAGGATGTCTAGCGCAGCAGCAATTATCCTTTCGGTTGAAGTAGCCAAAATGTATGGCATAACTCACCGGAAACTGCGTCCTGAAGAGTACCAGGAAACGGTTGTGGATCTTTTGATACGAATAATATTAGCACTGCTTGTATAGTTCATGTTCAACGTAATACTTGTAATGATTTTAACACGTGCAAGAAATATTCCCGTTCTTAGAGTTTGGAATGTAAAATGGAAATCGCATCTTATTGTTTGTGTTGTGACTGTTTATATGATTGTAACTTATTATACGAACAAAATTCTGATAATTCTCAACACACTATACGAGGCTGAGGAGAAGATTGATAACAAGTAATTTGGCAGAGATTGGTGGTAACTGTAATCTGATAATAATAATAATAATAATAATAATTTAATATTTATATTGCGCAAATTAACATGTGGATATGATCAAATGCGCATCACAACACTTTTCGGGGGACTTTGGCCAGACTGCATCAGCAGTTTACAAACAATCGAAGGAAACTTATTTGAAGATGCCCCCTTCCCCCCCAATTCCCAGTAAACAGGCCAGACCACATCACAGAAATCTCGTGAGTGGGTTCTTTAACTTCCCCCCTGCCTAACCAAATTAACTAATTAATAGATGCAGGAGACACAGCTAGAGATTCATAGATGCTGTTCACTTTGTTCTCAGCCTTCTCAAAAAGTTATCGAAATATAGGCCTCACCGTCAATAAACGTCTGCAAACAGTAAACCGAAATTGTGTCCCATGATCCTAAGTTTTTGTATGAGTCGTGTTCTGAAAACAGCAGAACCATTTTCCTTTTTCAATCTGAATGGCATTTCTGCCGCACGACAATTCTACAAAAAACACTTTATTGATGATAATTTTAACCATCACAAAAGTTAACAGAACTGGTATCCAAAAACGTCAAAAACAAACGGAAAACTTACCAAACCTCAAAACAGCTAAGCTGAAGACTCTGCAGAAGGTTAGCAAAGAGTTGGTAGCCTGTCAATAGCCTTCTAGCCCACCCCATCCCCTCCTGCCCACCCCATCCCCTCCAGCCCACCCCATCCCCTCCAGCCCACCTCATCCCCTCCCCGACTCCCTTCAGAGAGGCCCTCAAGAAATAATTGAGCAACAAAAGCTTGCGAAGGAATCATAAAATACGATTGTTACTGCAAAAAAAAAAACTCTTTTTAACCATGACAGTAGCAGCTTAACGTACTAAACATAACTAGCTGATGCTCTAAGAAAAATAGAGGGCGATTGTTACAAAAAAATAATAAATTCTGAACTTGATAGGTACTTCATGATCTTGCAGCGACTGATAATCTATATTCATTATTACGATATACATTTAGAGAAGTAAATTTGTAATTTTTTTCCTAAATTTTCATGTTTCTCCGCATCGTAGCAAACTGCTTTGATAGATGATTTCCTTAATCAGGAAAAACATGAACACTTACTTTTACACCCATAAGCTCCATTGCTTTAGTTTGTCCCTTTTGTTAGCTCGTATACTGGCAAACAGATCAACTTCTTACTTGTACGCTAGGATTGTCGGTTTATTGGATGAAAACAAATAATCTTCATTGCCAATTCAATAAAACAAGCCTACTTTGGAAACATAAGAAGAACTCATAAAATATTGTTCTGATAGATTTACAATTTTTCCCTTATAGACTTGCATAAATTCTTATTCGTTCAACTTGTGCGCCTCCGTTCAATCAGCACAACTGGCGCATAGAAGTTCAACCCCCTCCCTGACGAATCCCTCATTGGCCAGAGACCGCTGACACCGAGTGCAGTTAAAGCACTCTTTGTGGAAATTTGATTCCTCTAACGTGAAGTATTCACCGCCAATAATTGGTTTAAAGCAGACCTCACACTGCTTGGCCAGGAACCTTCCATAACACTCGATGCAGTAGCGGTGGCCACTGTGCACGGAGAATGGTCGAGATGCCAACGATTCATGGCAGGTAAAACAACTGAAACATTCCTTATGCCAGGTCTGTTCGTTGTAAAGGACACCGCCTTCGGAAAGTGGCTCCCCGCAATCCGCGCAACGCTTGGCATGCAAATTCTGGTAGCATCCTGGACAATAGAACTCGTCATCTTTTGGAACGAAACCGCTGGTCCCGATGGCTTCCCGACAGACGGCGCACTTGAAGCATTCTTCGTGCCAGTAGGTGCCATTATATTCCAAGCGCGCGCTTCCAGACTCGATGGCATAATGGCATCCTTCACACGTCTTCTGGAAGTTCGTGATGTAGCAATCATTACACAGAACTTGCTCCTTGTAGAAAGTAAATTTTCCGTCTGATCGCAGAGGTTTCCGACACAACTCGCACAGGAAACACATTTCGTGCCAATGTCGATCGTCAGCCGTTGACACGTCTTTAGCATCAGGGCCAATCTTGCCATGACAGTAGTCACACACGTTAGCAAATCTGCATTAAAAGAAACAATTTTGACCATTAAAACCGCTTAATCGATACAGAATGGAGAATCTTAAGCAGTAGTAGCAAGACTGCTGTTGAGTTGCCCTCTTGCTATTGAGAAAAAAGTTGGTCTCAGACGCAGAATTGGCGAAAAAATCTCTCAATGTTCTTCACGATTTTCCTTGTCATTTGACTCCCTGAATAAGATAACAGCGTCCATGAAATTAATATATCACGTACAACGCACAGTCACGTAATTCTTAGCAAAAAGAACACACCTGCAGTCAAAACAGTCAACGCATACGGGCTTTTCGTCTCTGACAATAAACTGCTTGCCTGTGATACTGACGTCGCACTCGTTGCATCGGAAATGACCCAAGTGCCAGCTTTTGTTCATGGCTATGGTGTATTCTCCAGTAAAGATAAGCTGAGCATGCGCAGATAGAGGGAAATAAAAAAAGTTCAAAATTAATTATGTGTCAATGTCGCGTAACAAACTGAAATGAAAAAAAATTAACTTTATCGTGAAGCCTAGACTTTGAACATCCGGGCCTCGCAAAGAGGACCAGCTCTACTGACTCGATCAAAGCCCCAAAAAGCTTTGGATCAAAGAAAGAATCTGAGCTACTACGCCTCCACCCCTTCCCCAAAAACAGCACTACGCCCCCACCCCTTCCCCAACAGCAGTCAACTGATAACAATTTACGATTCATGTTTGATTAGGGGAGGGGTAGGTGCGCAATTGCTGAGATACTGACATTAATCCAAACCTATTAATCACAGCTAACGTGCTACAGATGTGAAAGTGCCGTGTGATCGTCCGGGTTAGTGTAGTCCTGAGAAGGACTGTTGTCGGTGGCAGTGACTGATGTTTCGACAACCTGTGCGGAAGTCATCGTTAGAGTCAAGTGAATAGCTGTTGTCAATAGAATGTTCTTAGTTGTTGTCAGTAGACGTTATTGAGAGCAAAGGCATAAATGATGACAAACCAGATTTCAGTGCACTAGCCTTCTAATGTTCGACTGATAAACAAAACTTCCACTAACTCCTGTAATGACTTCCACTTAAGATGACGCTATGTCAGTTACTGTGCTCCTAGAGCGTGGACAACCGCAAAATGGCATAACATATTGTGGCGGCTAATCTTACCTCGTCGCATCCGTAGCAACGTTGCCTTGACAACTCAGCGTGATGTCTTGCGCAGTAGACTTTGTTTCCATACCGGAAGTAAGTGAGGTCTACCAACAGCTCCCAACAAGTCGCACAGCAGAAGCATGCAGCGTGATAACATGACACTTCATTGTCATCAAACTCAGCTGAAACCACCACGTCACCTTTAGGGATGGTCTTGAAACACGATTGGCAATTCTAAAGAAGCACAGGAAAACCAAAAGTAAATTCGAGCGCAGTAAACTTCAACTATGCGTACGAAAGGTATGCAGATCGAAAACGCTCCAGTGAGCTTCCTTCTCTAGTAAACCCATCGTCCAGAGCTTTTGTGTAAGCCCCTCCCTCCCTCCCTGAAAGGTCCTACCTCTTCCCCTCCAGTTTATCAAAGAAATACACGTTAAATACGGCATTCTTTCTATCCGGGCTACAAAAAAGAAGAATAAAGATTCTTCTCCCCACGAAGACTCTTGTTCACGCATTTGTGACTTCGCATTTAGACTATTGCAACTCCCTTTTATTTGGCGTACCCAAGTACCAGACAGAGCGTCTTCAGAAGGTGCTTAACGCCGCTGCTCGACTAATTTTTAGGATTCCCAAGTTTCACCACATCTCGTCCGCCTTATATAATCTTCACTGGCTTCCTGTGGCTTATCGCGTCCATTTTAAGTTGTTACTTTTAATTTATAAAGCTTTAAATAACCAAGGCCCACTATACATAAAAGAATATCTGCAGCCACACAGTGTCAAGGGTCATCAGCTACGTTCCTGCGATCAGGGTCTCCTTAAGGTCCCAAGAACTAACTTTAAGACCTTTGGTGATCGTGCCTTTGCCCGTTCTGGACCTTTTTTGTGGAACGAACTGCCGCTTGAAATTCGAAACAGTCCAAGTGTAACGATTTTTAAGTCAAAGCTTAAGACACATCTATTCAAGCTGGCTTACAGTTTGTTTTGATATTTTGTCGTTTATCATTTTAATATTTGTAGTTAATAATGTTGTAAAGCGCTTTAGAATATTTTATAATTTTAGCGCTTTAGAAATGTAAATTATTATTATTATTATTATTATTATTATTATTTAATCAACTTCGAATAGGCCAGTTTCAGTACTTAGTCATATTTTTTAAGAGGAACAGAGCATGCACTTCTAGTAAAAACAGCGTTCATGTCTGCCAAACCCAAGAATTTTTAACACATTTCTTTATCTTTCAAATTTCATCATAACTAATTCAGTTTTTTATTGGCAGGTGCATTTTATCAGTGACATGTCCGTTAAATAATTTATCTGAATTTCGCGCACAACAGAAGAAACCGTTTTACAAGAGTCGGACAAGGCATTGACAAGATTATCTTAACACAGGGTGATTACATCAGTTGCAATACGTGGGAGACAGGAAAGTTGTCCTTAAACAAAAGTTACTACACCAGGTATGGCTGGGTTCTGAGAGAAGTAGTCCTAATGAACAAATATTTCTGATCAGGGACGACTGTCCCCTTAAAGGCGATATTCCTCACGAGAAACCATTTCAAAATAACGACGACGTCACTAATACATAAATGCGGTATTGGAGATTGTTACGTGGACTCGGAATTGGAAAAGTTTTTAACATTCTGACCCTTGGGACTTCTAAAAAAAAAGGCTTTTACTCATTATTTTTACTGTAGTTCTGTTGAGAATTTCTGATTATGAATCAACGATGACTTTTTTTGCCAAAATATTCTTTTTGACTAGACTGCCAAGCATATCATTTTCAGGAAATTAAGTATCCACATCAAATGATCCACAAAAAGGGAACCTATGAACAACATTGAAAAGCTTCGGTTCTTTTTTAAAATAGTTCGTAAATTGTTGTTCAGGCTGTCAATGAATGATCCTAAAAACATTTGCAGATAATTTGAAGCTACAGGTACTTGTTACCGCTTTTTTTCAGATGTCGACCTCAATACCTGGAGCATTGCTGGCTCTCTTGTTACTTACACTTTATGCAAACGGTGGGAATTTCCTTTTCAATTTTTCTCTTTAACTTTATGTTATTTGCAACCCTCCTGTCGTTCTTTAGCGCTTCATGTATCTTATTAACCAAGCGCGAGGGCCGTACTGGGAGAATATCGGCCCGAGGTCTTGACAGTNACCGGTAAGCAATCTAACATTCATCTCCAAGATCGTCGAAAAGGCGGTTCTTTCTCAATTGTTTAAGCACTGTGAATACAATGCTCCTCTGCCGAAGTTACAATCAGGGTTTAGAAGATTTCACTCTACCGAAACTGCCTTGCTTAAGGTTCAAAGTGATATTCTTATGTCAATGGACCATCAGGAAATTACGCTTCTTGTGCTACTGGATCTAAGCGCTGCTTTTGATACAATCGATCATCAGATTCTCCTTAATGTTCTTGAAAGCGATTTTGGAATCATTGGCTCTGCCCATAAATGGTTTGCGTCTTATCTGTCTGGCCGAAAACAACGTGTTCTCATAAACGATCGAACATCAGATGATTTTCATTTGAACTGCGGTGTCCCACAAGGCAGCTGTATGGGTCCTATTTTATTCATATTATACATATCTCGACTATATCACGTGATCGCTAACCATCTCCCCTCTGCTCACGGATATGCCGATGATACACAACTTTATCTGTCGTTTAGACCCAATGACATATCTTCGCAAGACCACGCCATAGCTGCTCTTGAAGCCTGCATTTCGGATGTCCGCTCATGGTTGATTTATAATCGCCTGTTAATTAACGATTCTAAAACCGAATTCTTAGTTGTTGGTTCCCGCCATCAATTATCAAAAATCGCAATTGATTCCATCACAGTCGGTAATTCTACCATTCAGCCTCTCAACAGTGTTCGAAACCTGGGTTCCTGGTTTGACTCCAATATGTCCATGTCCATTCACATTGGTAAGATCTGCAGCAAAGCTTTTCATGGATTGTATAAAATTCGCCAAATTAGGAAATTCCTCAGTCCTGAGTCCACGAAGACTCTTGTTCACGCATTTGTGACTTCGCATTTAGACTATTGCAACTCCCTTTTATTTGGCGTACCCAAGTACCAGACAGAGCGTCTTCAGAAGGTGCTTAACGCCGCTGCTCGACTAATTTTTAGGATTCCCAAGTTTCACCACATCTCGTCCGCCTTATATAATCTTCACTGGCTTCCTGTGGCTTATCGCGTCCATTTTAAGTTGTTACTTTTAATTTATAAAGCTTTAAATAACCAAGGCCCACTATACATAAAAGAATATCTGCAGCCACACAGTGTCAAGGGTCATCAGCTACGTTCCTGCGATCAGGGTCTCCTTAAGGTCCCAAGAACTAACTTTAAGACCTTTGGTGATCGTGCCTTTGCCCGTTCTGGACCTTTTTTGTGGAACGAACTGCCGCTTGAAATTCGAAACAGTCCAAGTGTAACGATTTTTAAGTCAAAGCTTAAGACACATCTATTCAAGCTGGCTTACAGTTTGTTTTGATATTTTGTCGTTTATCATTTTAATATTTGTAGTTAATAATGTTGTAAAGCGCTTTAGAATATTTTATAATTTTAGCGCTTTAGAAATGTAAATTATTATTATTATTATTATTATAAAGAGCGTTAGCCCGAACGCCCTGTGAAATAAGATATCCAGAGGGTCTGGGGGCTTACTAGATCGCCTACTACAGATTTTACTCTGTACCAGGGGTCTTTGTGAAGTAACGAACCAGGAACGAACATGAATATTGCATAGTAATTTAATCAAATAACTTCATCTTTTACACCTCGGTAGCGTTTGATCATGAAAAACAATACCATGCATTGATGTGTCACTTGGCCGAATCAAAATTCCGCGTCCTACCGCTCAAGACCTATTTTTTCACAACTATTGGACAATTCTTTTTTTTGTACGAAATTATTGGAGGAAGTGACCTATCGTAAAATGTGAGACGAGGTTAAGACTTAAACCACACAATAAGAGAAATTACAATACCATGGAGTGGTAAGAATAAATTATGATATCCAAGGCGTGGTTCTCGCGACCCCCGCGCAACAAGCGGCCACCTCGCTAAGTCCTCGCACTCGCGAGGACTTAGCGCACTCCCACGAGAAAACCACTAAGAGAGATTAGGCTGAGCCGGAAAATATATAGACATCTTTGTGCGCGTGAACAATGATAGAGAAGTAGCTTAAAGAGCTCCTATACGTAAAATGAAAATAATAATGATAATTATACGCAGAAAGGATAGACTGCCCAAAATTATAAGAAAGATTAAAGATCTGTAAGGAATTATGCGCATCTGTTCACATACTTGAAGCACATCATTAACAACCAAATTAAACAGGGTTAACACAAATGGACATTTACTTAAACTCTAACTAGTCAGAGCCTCTTTGGTACAAGACAAGACAAGACAAATTCCTCTCGTTGAAAAGTTATCCCTGCAAACTTAACGTGTTCATACACGCCTTTTCAAGAGTTATCTTTAAGAACTCAAGAAAGATTACCGTAAACATCTACAGTCTCGTTCTTGGAATTCTCTTTATATCATAAAGCATACCTAAATGGTTTTGGTAAACCATTATCAGTTTTGTTCTTATCTAGGCTGATCTAAAGCTAATCATTTCTTGTACGTTAAATTTCACAGCGTTTAATTTAAAGCGGATTGGACAAGTTATTGTTTAAGCAGGATTAAGACCTCAGCAGATTATCCAGCCAGCTTATGAAACTTTTGTTGCCTGGGGTTAAAGGGCTAGGAAGTATGAACATTTCTTGGCATGTGTGCGCTTACAAAGCTTCGAGTAAAAGTTAATGCTTCATTAGAAAAAAAACACGCCAAGCTCATTAATGCTTGAAATAAAGGAATACTGAGAGCAGATACACAGATAAGCCCATTTTTTTATGATGCAATCCACTGTTCTGAGAAAGAAGTGTTCCATCAGTCACTAAAATAAAGGCTTTATAGCAAAGTGACTCTAAAATCTTATCGTTTTTGTTTTCGTTTTTTTCATCACAAACATGTTAATCTTCCATTCTTATCCAGGAGAGCGAACTTACGTCTAGTTTTCGGCGAAAATCGCCAGAGAAACTCTTTATCGTCTCTGGTGCCTTTCCGTAATTTTTTTTTTTTTTTCATAATTTAAGTGCATTCCAAACAGTTTATTAATACAAGCCATTCTGAGTGTGGAGAACTGCTGCCAGTATTGACGTTCTGTGGCTTCACTTGACCACGTATCTATTCAGGGCGTGTGTATGTGTGTTATTGAAAAACCTTAGTCCAGCATTGTGTCTGGTTTGAGGATTAAGGTCTTTAAGGGGGGTCAAACGTTGTAAATTGACATATTTAGCATTAACGTTGAGAGATGAAAGAAATGCGCATGCAATCAACTGTCTCTCTTTTTTTTCTCTGCTGGACATGAACGTATTTCTTGTTTCTTCTACTTGCAAGGAGAAAAAATCAACAATATAATAAGGAGGACAAGGAGTTTCTCTGACCTCTCTTCTTCCAAGTGGAACTTTGACCTTTCCGGTTCCTCTTGCATTGTCTTCGTTATTCCAGAATTGAACAAAAGCTTCTCTTTGAGGCTCGGGAATATTTGAGAAATGCACGGGTGCTTTGTCTTGTGGTGGGTTTTGATATACGCGCTGTTTTATGTAATAATCTTCTCCTGGTGTACCAGCGATGGGAATTCTATCCTCTGGTAGGGACTTCATGTAAGCCTCCACCTATCATGATCCAGACAAGAGCACAACTATGCATAAAAATTTCTGGATAAGGTGCAGTCTCAGTTCAAAAATTTCTTCGTTGTGTGAGGACATATACTTCAACCTTCCTGGTCTAAAGCATGAAGATGTCTTTCAAGTTCTGTTCGCAAATCTATTGGTTCTGTTTACTATTAATCCACAAAGATAACTTTCAAGTTATTCATCGGAATTAATCTTATTCGACGGAAAGCATGGTGCGGTTTGCCAATATTCATTTCCTAAATGGCGATTTATCCATTAAACCGCAGCGCTAAGGCATTTTTCAAACAAGGAAAACTTTTTTGATGCTTTTAATGAAAAAATTGTGGCAAGATTATCCCCCCCAAAAATGCAGAAAATTAATGAAGACACAAAAATTTTCGTAAGACTAAAATAGGCTCTGATGCGGAAAGAAAATGACATATTTGTTTTTCCATACCTGACCAGTTGTCAACCCTGGAGGTGACCAAAGGTAATCTGAGGCCGTTGAGGGAGGGGGCGGAGGGGGAAAGAAGTCATTATCCACAGGGGAGGATTGAGTAGTAAAAACCCTCATCGTTGGGTATTCATTGTTATTTGACAGCGGGGGAGGGGATGGTAAATCATCTTCGCGGTTCGTGTCCGAGTTGATTTTAAGGCCTTTTACTTTGAATTGAACTTCGTCCACGTCGACATCAGCATCAACATCTACAGACAGATCATGGTTCTCACGGGGACATTTGCAGTTCGCACAGACTTTTCTGTCGAGAAAGATGGAATTGCACATTTTAAAAAAAGTCAGGTTACCAGGGGTAAAAAAAGGCTTGTCAAATCTGGTTCACGGTTGGACGTAATGACCTAACGTCATAACGAAATGAAGAAAATATAAGGTTGTCTTAAACTGTGCAATCATGTTCATGTTGTTAAAATGTTACTCAATAGAGATGTCTCTTCGTTCACATTACCACAATGATGGTAATCATTATCATTAACGTTTAGTGGATCTTAGTACTGTTACTATGTTGTGCGAGAGAACAGATTTATGAGAGCAGAGAGAGGGAAAGCATAGACCTTTGTAAAAACGCCGAGCATCGTTCATGAGAATTGAGTCGATTCCTCTCAAAGAATAGATAATTCTAAACGGTTACAAGTGGTCAGAGGGTTACAAAAAAATATGGCAAATGTATGAAGTGCTTCATCCCCTGACGCTTGCATATGTATGATGACTGCATAAAGCATAAATATCTCATTGACCAGCCGGAGGTACATATTGGGAAAAACTGTGCCCGAGGTCTTGGATACCGCCCGAGGCCACAGTTTTTCCCAATACGGACCGACCTATGCTGGTCAATAATATTTTCTATTTTTTTCTAACACATAGAAAATGGTTGCCATAAGAACCCATGTGATTTGCGGCTACAATTACGAGTTTAAATACGGGAAAATCCTCCATAAACTTAATAATTTGTTAGCGAGTGGATAATAAAGAAAACAGACGTTATCCAAACTAAGGAGAAAGCTTTCATCTTTGAAGGACGATAAAAAATTAATTTCACTAGGTGAGACCCTTTTTTTATTTCAGATCTTCTAATAAGTACAATTGAAACATTTTAGCCGATATTTGTAAAAATAATGGAGGTTCCCTTTAACCCAACTTAAAAGGCTTCCGAGCAAACTTGAAACATTTTTTGATTAGTAACTGTCATGATGTGACACCTGTCAATTGAAGAGGAAAGAAGCGTACACGTTTTAATAAACAACAGAACTTGTAAGACAAACACACACGAGTTAACTGACGATCTTCTCGTAAAACTGAAAAACACTCGGAGATCTTACGAAAAGTATTGTTTATTTTCAACGACGATCAATGTACGAAAATTTACCTCTGTTTCGTTTTAAAATGTCACGGAAAGTAAAATTGAAAGTGAACGCAAATGTATGCTTTGGAGTTGTCAGCTGTAATGGCGTGTGTAAATCGGTTTTTCTTTCCCCGAAAAGTTAAAGTCAATAAGACTCTTTCCAGCTAGACACAAGGAGATTTCATGCGACTTTTATTCATCGAATTCCTTCGGTTGCTGTTGTAAATTTACGGTAGAAATGTCCAAATTCAAGGGACTTGCAAAGAATAGGCGAAAGTGTAGTTGAACTGAGTGGAGTGCAATTTGGGCTGAAATCATACGCGTGATTTTAAAATCACAAGTATGATTTATGACCAAAATTGCATGACACGACGTTCAATTACCACTTTATTACATCCATTTTGAAATCGCCCAAATACAGGACTTGGTCAATTTAAATATTTACTGATGCAGTACTGAGCCGGTTTTTTCAATAAAAAGCGGAACCGGAAATGCTTCTACATCTTATTTTGCATGCAAAACAGAAAGACTTTGACGTCATGTGTCCCAAACTCAGTCAAGCGTAAAATGATGCGATTTAGAGCAAAAAATGGTGCGATTCGTGAATAAATCGCACCAGTTAGAGCCAATCAGATTACAGGGACCACCAGTGTTTTCAAAATGAATGTAATAAATATCCGTTATGAGATTTACTTTAATACGTGAATAATACTGGCGTTACCTGCATGCGCAACCTAAATCCGTTTTACAGGCCTATCAGGAAAAAAGAAAAATACTACAAGGAGCCAACAAAAACTCGACGAAATCACATGCACACGACCTGAAGAGGGGAGAAACGTGAGTGTGGTCGCAATTGATTTTAGTTCAGCATCTGAGTGGTTAAGCTTATCACAGGGCCACACAAAAAACAATACCAACAAAACCTCAGTTTACTTTCCGCGCTCAAAAGCTAATTGCTCCAAAAGTGCTTCTTGTCTATCGTTATCAAATTTGGAGCAGTAAGTAAAGGTCATTTTCGCAACTTGATCTCAAAAGAAAAGTAAATATTTACACTACAAAGATTAACAGCTATAAGACTGACGGATTAATGTTTTTTTTTATAAAGTTAAAATCAGCCCTGCTTCTTTAAAACAACTCAAATCTTTTAAGAAAAATTCTCAAAAATTGGGCGGTAGGTTGGTCATATGGCTACAATTCAAACAAGAGCGAGTCTTGGTTGTACGGAAAAAACGATAGTTTTGGTTTTCGCGATCCTCATTTCCAAAATAAACGTATGGATTGTAAACAGATGCTTATTACAAACGGAAAACTCCTCACAATGACATAAAAAAGATTGTTCAGCAAAGCAGAAGCTTTCACCAAAAACTAGGACAGGCCGCTAAATGTCACGAGGGATGGTAACTTCTGTTTATTTTTATGCGAGGTTCGAACTAGTAGTTTTATCAATGCATATGCATTGCTGTCAGATGGCTCACCTTACTACCACGACTAGTGTTCATAGTGTAATGAATTTTTACCACAACCCAATAACTCAAATTCTCCGAAACCGAATCGCTTGAATATCCGCCCGATCGGAACCAAACTTAGCTATGTTTCTGTTTCACTTAACAAAGTAACACGCAATCTTAAATTGATCATAGAATCACAAGAGGAATTTTTTAAGGCATCTTTTTCAGTGCCAGTGGTTTTCCTAATAAATTTTCTTCGAAGTGTCTATTATATGACCACAGAAAACGAAGAGATTTAAAATTCAAGTCTTCAGTTCTTAAACTTCATCTGCTTTCGAATGATTTCCACGTGGTAAATCAATTTACATGAATATTTTGTGGTTTTCGGCAAACTTTTATAGAAATAATCAATCTCTAGTGAAACGGATGTCCTTAAAATTACACATGGGCAATTTGCGGCATTTTATCCGCCATTTTCAAAAGCAGAAACGCTTAGATATTCCATGAAAATCGTTAAGAAAACATCAGCAGCAACTCTTGAATTGTTTGAAGGTTATTTTTCGTTTAGACTTGGAACACCGAAGAAACAAAAAGTGACCAGTCTTTTCTAAAACATCCTTTTGTTGCTGTTGTTGCTTTCGGTCGGAAAAGCAGTAACGCCATATGTTGTGGCCGGAGAGCATTCCTTCGAGGAACTTAAAAGATGTGTCTTCAAAGGAAGATTAAAATTCGCAAATGCTTTCGAGGACACTTACTTGAAATTGCTCACTTATAGCTATTCAGAGAGAGCTAGGACTAGGTCCTTCAAGAAACTCCTCGCTTCTTGCAAGTTTGCTCCCTCAAAGTTTATTAATCCATAAATTAAATATTCTACACACAGTTTGTCAAAACTAACGACCAAGTCTGTTTCTGTGACAAAATAACTTTCGGTGTTTGGTTACAAAACTACTCAAATGGAATTAAAGTTCAGTCGGTCACCTTCGCGCTGCGTCCTAAAAGCTGCCTTTATAATGCGCAGCGGGTTTTTTGGCACGTGTCTGAAAAATGTTATTCTAACGCCTTCTAAGATTGATCTCTCTAGAATCTGGCCTTTTCTTTTGTGGGAGCATCATTAGAAGCGGAAAGGGAAAAAATTCGGATCTTTTGGCAATCCATAAAACTCTTAAATTTTTGAACGCAATTGTTTACTTGTCTAACAAAATAAACACTGCAGACGCGTGAAATGAGTGTCCAAAATAATTGCACTGTTGTTGTAGTACTTAAGACCGTCCCGTTTGAAAATGAAAGTTTAAACATCTTCTGCGAAGAAGAATTTATCTTTAGACGTTGGTCATTCTGCGATATTACAGCCTACCACGATTTCCTGATATCTGCTCGGCAGTCACGATTCATGTTCAAAAATAACATGTCAATATCGCTCGATTTTTCTTCGGCTAAGAATAGAATAGAAAACTTTTGCACTTAGATCAGCTTTTCTGCTGGGTAAGTACAAAAGAGTCTCACCGTGTTATTACTTTAAGCTCTTGAAAGTGAAAATTTCCTGAGAGTGTTTTCTTGATCAAAGCGGCAGGCAGTGAAACCCGAATTAGGTATCTGTTCTTAATCGGTACTCGTTAAAATGTATTCTCACACACTGTGTTCATTCATTCGCGAAATTGCATTTCACTAACCTTATACTAGGTCTGGGTGGTTTTTGAGGAGGCTTTGTCTTCTCTACTTTCTTCACAGTCTCCATAAAGTGTTCAAACAGGCTTCTCACGCAATCGAAATGCTTTAAGTGCCCCAACAAACCGGCAGGGGTCGAACAGAAAAAATTATCTACGAGGCACTTCGCACTGGGCTTTACATGGACACAGCTTGTGTATTTAGTCACTGAAGCGGCTAATGAATGAAAATCGAAGTTTTAATGCCCTCCGGCAGCTCGCAACTTGACACATATCCACAATGACAAGTCGCTATTGCCAGCCTGCACTGACATATTACCTTCTAGTAACTAGTGTGGGTCTTTCACTTTCATGATACCTTAGCACAGAGATCGCCAAATGATAAATTGGATAAATAGATATGAAAGGCGCTTTAAGAGATAAATACTTTCATACACACCCTTTACGAGCGAAAAATAGATGAGACAGTCAAAGTTAAGAAGTGTTATACGAATGCGAACAATTTGCTGCACTAGAATTATTTTCTGCGGGTGGGAACAACACGATCCGCGAGAAATTCATTGTGTTTTATTGTACTTAATTAAGTGACACACAGAATAATTTTAGTCTAAACAACGGGATTATAATTTCGATTTCATTAATTCTCAGTTCGTGCGCGAATTTTGTTCGCTGACAGCCCGACTGAGAGTATGCGTAAAATGGACCCACAAAATAAACAAGTTTAAGATGCTTGAGTTTGGACCACTTACCGCCACACGTGCAAACTGAATCCAGAACATTTTTCTCCGCATTTAAGACAGGGCTTTCCTTCGTCAAGATTCTGCAGCAAAATTCCCTGAGAGCAAAGGGAAAGATTCCAGTCAGCTTGACCAGCCAGCTGCCATTACGACCCCATCGTCGCAGTCTGAGAGGCGCTATTTATATAATTAAGTCAAAAAACGATTTAATAGTTGTCTCTCTTACTTTCTTCGATGCAGATGAGCGCTCCGAACCCATTTTGATCTCGTCAGTACTCAGGAAGCGCTGAAAATTGTCCATATTCTCAGCAGTGCGCGTTCTAGAGCGTCCAGCGTTCATTGTGGTATGCACTGGAGAGGTTAAGCGAAGCGCGATGCATTGACGAAATTAAATCCCGCTTTGATATTTATCCAACAAGGTTTTCATATTTCAGTCCCTCAGGGCGCGCCGGATGTCATTTTTTGACGCGCGGGCGGCGGACGAACACGCGAGGAAATGCGCGCAGGTTTTGTGTCATTACTACGTGCGTAAACAAGAGAAATAGCTGAGCGTCTTCCGGAAGTGTTAACAAATTTATTGTGAATTAAATGTAGAGAAAAACAACAGTGAGAATCTTACTTCATTGTAAAGCGTACGAGACTTTTTTCGAGTCCAAAAGCTGTTCAGGATGTACGCAGAAAAAAATTACGTAGAGTGCAATAAGAAAATAAGGATTCTTTGAAACATGTCAAGCAGTTTATTATGCGAAGGCTCGGGATCGGAGCTTTTAATTAACAGAAAAAAAGTCTTGATATTATCCACGCAAATCCGGGAAAAGGGCGGTTTGTACGGTAATCCACTTTGAGACACCCTTAGTCTGAATTCTTTAGCGCTTTATTTGACTTTCTAAAGCATCCGCTATATTAAAATGTAGATATGGAAACAATACCTATAACTCGAAGCTAATCTTACTTTAAGAAACCCTACATGTTTTTGTTTGGGAGTTAAGATAAGATTGAAAGAAAAAATATCAATCCTATCTTGAATGCTCACTTTGTCACTGTCAAAACTTCAAGCAGAACAGATTGTCAATCAAGCTCGGATTTCCGCTCAGACAAAATATTTTTACTGATGATTCGCGCAAAAGATCATATTTCTAAGAATTTCTTTACATCCTGCAAACCTTTAACGACGAACAAATGAGATGGGAGAGTCTTAATATGAGAATCTCTCGGAAAAATTGATAACTCACGAGAAAAACTTTCGCCAATAATCTCCTGTTGTTACCGGTCCACATTCCGAACAATCTGTTCTCTGCTTTTTTTTTCTCTCTCAGCAATGAACTATTTTGACGCCAAATTCTATTTGTGATACAAGTGAGGAGGTTTAGAAGCGAGACTGAATGATGTCGTGTGACGACAGAACCTTCGTAGAGATTACAGTTTTCACAAAAGTTGTTAAGTTCATTTGTCACCAACAACTTGGGACAAAGGAAGTGTGTGGTTCCCGCTGAGAATTCACACCAACCCCAACCTATGTATAGCTGGCTAATGTGAAACAGTATTGCACGACGAAGCTACAAGATTTGGAAACGGAAAGGTTTTGTGGCTCTACCGCTTTTATCGTTTTCACCGAGCATTGAAAAAGTTACGTAAGAAAACGAGCCCCAGACTTGTTATTACGTATTGTATTCTGTACCACTGAGCTACAACACATTCGTGTCAGTTTCAACAATATCGGAAGCCTCTTGTGTGGTTGATACGGAAGGAATAAAGATTTCCGATTGAAATAGATGTTGAAGAACAACTCAGAATAAATTGATTTTGATTCTACAGGTTTACCTTTTAATTTTTAAATCAATTTTTTTTATTTACAGAATGCAGTACCAATTCATTTCCATTCTGCAGATCTCGATAACCAACGAGCTTCGACGTTTCGTACTCGTGTCTTAAACTAATAGAAATAAACAAGCAATCATAGTAAAACAAACAAACATAGGAAAACAAACATAAAGGTATTGCTAGTAAGTGGCCAGTCGGCTTGTAAAAGGTGCCACGGACCACACATGAGGGAGGGGCAGGGCGTTATGTTAGTCTCCCACAATCGGGCATGTCTCGTCAAGAAAACCGAGCACCGTCCAGAACTGCACTATGCTGTAAATTCTGATCACGCGAATGATGAAAGATCGCGCGGCACGCTGAGCACGTGAGGGAAAATGTCGCGCTCGTTAGGCAGGAAACGTCAAACTATGGTATCAATTACACGGCTTATAAATAGCCACAAATCTCCCATATTAGTACCAATACTCCCTTATCAGCTTCTGCAGATGATGTTGAACAACCTAATTATATTTGAAGACAGAACAAAACCGAAAAATAAAACTTTAAATAGCAAGCTCGAGATAACGATGATAACTACGAGGAGAAAGAAGAGGAGAGAAATAATATGATACCGCTACCTGATATAAACAAAATTGATAGGAGGTCGACTCAATAACATTACTATGCACTAATTTAAGCTGGATGGAAATGTGTGATACTTTTTAAGGAGTACAGGATGTATTGCCCGACCATAAGTAGAGAGATCTACGTGATAATGTTTTCTCAATCACTGATTAATGGAGAAATGTTTAGCCACGTACTGATAGACTATTTCGTGTTGTAAATGATAAATGTAACGCAGAGCGACACACACACACAATAAAAAGATGGAATTTAGCGAGCGGCCGATTATCGAATATTCATCGTATCTTTAATTAGCCATTTGAAGCAAAATTGTCCCACACTAAACAGCTAAGAACATTCCAGAAAAGATTAAGTAATTCGGCTCTACTGCATTAAAAAGTTATTTGCAGTTATCATAATAATCCGAGTAAGCATCGTATTTTGCAGTCCTTTCTCCAAAAAGTCTTCAAAAGACACAGGAACATGTCCAAATTTCCTCTCCAACAAATTATTTGTCCCTGCTTCTATAGAGTCTCTTACATAATTTCTCTTTCAAAAAGTTCAGGTATTGATCGACTGAGGACAGATCATAGTGGGATTAAGAGAAAGTACATACATATTTTCAGGCTGGAGGCCCCATTCCCTATAAGATCTCCTTCGAGAAAAAAAATGTTGAATAACATCAATGCTAACGTATCACTTTCTTTCTCATCGGAAAAAGGTTTCGTGAATAAGCAAGTCCAAGTGGGTATGATTCTTTACCAGAAACGAATTTGAAAGAAAACAAACAAGTATTGACCCCTGAGAGATCATAAGGGTTCACTTATGATCTCTTGATCTTGGTCTTCAGGTAAATTGGAAAACCGATCCTCATGAGTGAAATAAATGAGGGAATTGTAAACTACACTTCATGTACATGTCAGTTTATAAAATACATCTGCCTCAGGGATGAAGCCCTCACTTTTCTCATCTTTTCTGTTCCCTTAGGAAGTTTTAAGATGAGTTTCTCGATTTCATTTATTACATACGCTGAACTATTTTTGTTTTTTGTTTTTTTTTTGTGCCGATCGTGGATGTTCCTATAATCTGGAACGAGGCCAGGGCACCCGCGAAGCGGAGAACGGGGAACAGGGGACGGAACAGGGAACAGGGACGGTTTTAATAACAACTGCCTGCTGTTTTCAAACTAGGCAACATCATCATCAATGGGAAACTCCGACCGTTTTCTTTCTCCGTTTGTGAATATCGTGAACAAATTACCAGCGTTCTTTTTTTTGGCCAACCATGAGAAGACAAACAGGGCTTGTACTGTATCTTGGAGAGCTCCATACTTTAAAACTAGACGCATATCTGCGTGTACTCGGGCTTTCAATATCGCACATCTGGAGTTATCTTTAGGAGACTGCCATATTGCCATTGTTACTGTCGTCACGCAATTTCATCATTGCCGGTCACAAATAAGTCTACTTGTGTTTATTTTTGCCTGCTGTCCAGAGTGTAATGAATGTTGCTATGGTACTAGACAACAATCAAAATAATATATTACCATATAGAAGTAAGTTCCTGAAGATGCCAAAGGTTGAAATTCAACGACTTTTCAATGACTTTGAAGGCCAAGTTTTAGAAAATTGAAGGACCATTTTTTATTTCTAACCATTTTCACTGCATTACCGCAGTGGGGTAGGACTAGAACGGAACAAATGCGAACCATGCGAGTAATTCACCCAATAAATCAAACGCATCCCACCCCAGGGGAGGACAACCATCACATAGCAATCTCATGCGTGGGAAATTAATCACTTTTGGAAAGGTTACCATTAGCAATTTTTTTAATTATTAAATATATTTTTTCTCAGCTTTTCCATGAAAGTACTGTAATTTTCAACTTGAAAATTGCTAAAGAAAAAGCATTGCAAAAATCAAGCCTTAGACCTCAAATTCAAGTACTTTCAAGGCCTGAGTTTTTAACTTTTAAATTCAAGCATCTTCAAGGACTTTCAAGGCTTTTAC